ATGAATAAAGATGGCTCATATAACTTTTGGTTCACCATGGAAACCCTGCGCTCTGAGGGATTTAAGAGAAAGAAGCTGATGGCGAATCTGTGAGGAATGTTTCTGTACGCTCCTCTGCCTCTCTCTCTTTACACACACAGCAAAAAACACACTCCTGAACGCTCAGAGGAGGCCTGTGTGTGATCGAGAGTCTGCAGAGGCCAAAAAGATGGTGGTTGGGTGGTTTCAGGAGGAAGATGGAAGTGATGCTCTATGGATAATTATGGCTTTCACTGAGGAATCGGGAATGCTGGTATTTCTATTGAATGAGCAACAAGCTACTCTATAACTTTTGCATCTAAATCAGTGATTGAGTCGATTAAAAATCTGCATCCAGGTAAATTATGTAGGAATAGTCCACCCAAAAATAACAAAATTCTGTCATCATTTGCTTAAGCTGGAGGAAAGCCCTTACCCCAGGTGGAGGAGTTCAAGTATCTTGGGGTTTTGTTCACGAGTGAGGGAAGGATAGAGCGTGAGATTGACAGGGGGATTGGTGCAGCAGTAATGAGCCGAAAGGCAAAGCTCTTGATTTATTGGTCAATCCTTCTTCACTCACCTATGGTCATAAGCTTTGGGTCATAACCAAAAGGACAAGATCCCGGATACAAGCGGCCAAAATGAATTTCCTTCGAAGGAAGGGCACACCCTGATAGATAAGGAGCTCTGTCACCCAGGAGGAGCTCGAAGTAGAGCCGCTGCTCCTCCACATCGAGAGAAGTCAGCTGAGGTGGCTCAGACATCTGTTTCAGATGCCTAATGGACACCTACCAAGGGAGGTGTTCCAGGCATCCCCCTCCGGGAGAAGTCCTCGGGGAAGACCCAAGACACACTGGTGGGACTGTCTCTCGGCTGGCCTGGGAACGCCTCGGATTGTCTGGGGTTCTCTCCTAGGACTGCTGCCCCTGGAAAAGCGATTGAAAATGAATGAATGAATTTACTTAAGCTGTTTCTTCTGTTGAACACAAAATAAGATATTTTGAAGTATGTTGGAAACCTGTAACCATTGTTTCCATAGTAGCACAAAAAAATCCTTTGGTAGTTAATGGCTACAGATTTCGAATTACCAAACAAGAAAGAAATGATGAAGTTTAATACTTTCTTTACTGGACAAATAATGTCTTACAGGGTGACTCAGGCTGTTTCTTAATTCCAAGAACGCAGAGAATGAACTTGCGTTCTTGTGGAGAACGGTCTTGCCAGGTGTCCTCGGAAGAACAAACTCAGGAGACCGCGAGGGCAGAGAATGCATCCTTTGAGAAATGGGATGCTGCGTTCTTCCTGATGGTCATGTGACCTTTACGTGTTTTAAATGGAAATTATTTAAACATTACAGCACTCATACAACGATTTATTGTTTCCCCCCTCTTCAAAATATATACTTTGCATATAAACATTATAAATATACTCTTCACAATATAAATAAAACAAATTTTAATATGAATTTCAGCAAACAAACACCCTTAATGTGTTTATTCCTTTATCAAGATATTCATGTTAATGTTTACTTTCACCGTTTCATTTAGGTAAACTCCTGAGGTAAATAAGTGATATCTCTGAACCTTAATAATAAATCTAAATAAAATGCTGCGCTTCCCACCTCCAGTCACAATGACTTCTGGGACTTCCAGAGCGAGTTCGGTGCTCAAGTCTGCATCAGTGCGTCCTCGATATTAAGATCACATCCGGGAAGTTTCACGCGTCCTCCGTACTTGCGGTCTTGAGTATTGGAACTGAACTTAGGCAGCTGATGATGACGTTGCACGAGAACACAAGGACGCAAGACCGCTGAAGAACGCATATTGAGAAACAGCCACAGTGGCTCAGTGGTTAGTCACCTCAGAGTAAGAAGGTCACTGGTTCAAGTCCTGGCTTGGTCAGTTGGCATTTCTGTGTGGAGTTTGCATGTTTTCCCCAAGTTGGTGTGGGGAAACAGTCCAAACACATGCGCTATATGCTGAATAAGTTGGAGGTTCATTCTGCTGTGGCGACCCCTGATGAATAAAGGGACTAAGCTGAAGGAAAATTATAAATGAATAATGTCTTTCATTCATTCAGTTTCTTTTCGGCTTAGTCCCTTTATTAATCTGAGGTCACCACGGTGGAATAAACCGCCAACTTATCCAGCATGTGTTTTACGCAGCGGGTGCTCTTCCAGCTGAAACCCATCACTGGGAAACATCCATACACTCTCATTCACACACATAAACTACAGACAATCTAGCTGAACCAATCCACCTATAACACACGTCTTTGGACTTGTGGGAGAAACTGGAGCACCCGGATGAAACCTCAGACACACCCGCCATCAAGCGTTGACGCTGAAGCCCAGTGTGAGTCGGGCGTAAGACTGCTGCTGATCCTGCTTTCACGTGAAACGGATGACACAAAAATATGGATAAAAGTTTACCTTTTTTTTAAGTTTATTATTTTTTTCAGCACTAATTTATTTATATATATTTTTTTCAAAGTAGCACAGCAATCAATTGTAAGGTTTAAAATAGGGTGAAAAGTAAGCAAAACTTTATTAGCAAAAATCTTACAAACTAACACTTTTATTAAATAGATAAAATAATTTAAAAAAAGACAATCGATTGTATGAATGTAATTCCAAGTCTTCAAAATTACATTGAAGCTGGTAGGAATTATTATCCTGTATAAGAGGACCTGACATATGAAATATGAGTGTCTCTGGTTACTTTGGAAATGCATGTGATTATCAATATCATTAATCAGAGGTTTCTCTCTGCCCTGTGTGTGCGTGTGTGTGTGAATTATCTGGTTGATTAGCTCCTTGCACTTCTAATCAAGTCATCAAGACTCTATAATGCTCCTAAAAAAACCTCACTGCTGAATTGAGCATTTGTAATCAATATGTATATGAGAATGAAAAGTAAGAGAGTATTGTGCGTGTGTGTGTGTGTGTGCTCGCGCAAGTCCACATTTGTGACAAACAAGACAAAAACTAACAGAAAAACTGTCACAAAGATACTGCTTGTTTTGCTTCTCAAACAAAAAAGCAGAAGTAAAGTCTGGTGCAGTCTGCAGATGAGCGTGTGCTTCTCTCTGCTCACGTCTCTGGATTTATTGTGTGCTGCTGGATCTTTTGGTTTCATCTCCTCATCTCTCTCTCTGAGCCTGGGCTGTGGATCCTAGGCTTCACATGCCGTCTGACTGAGATTTCACTCAACAACACATGTTTCTCTATCCTGCCTTTATTAAATAAGATTTCATAGAGCCAGCCGGTGTCTGATGAGGAACAGATCTCTACAAAGTTCATAACACAAACATTGCGCTTGGGAAGTTACGGTAAAATTTCAAAAATTGGTTGAAATTTTCTACACTGGAAAAATGGTAAGAATAAAGTGTCAGGCGATAAAATTATATAACAATCACTATGTATATGAATTTATAGCGAACAAATAGTTTTTATGGCCTATTTCTATTTAAAATGGCACTTTAAACGTAAAAGTCTCTCATTACATCATATAAAGTTGAAGTCAGAGTTATTAGCCCCCCTGTTTATTGTTCCCCCTATTTCTGTTTAACGGAGAGCAGATTTTTTTAAACACATTTCTAAACATAATAGTTTTAATAAGTCATTTCTAATAACTGATTTATTTTATCTTTGACCATGATGACAATATATAATATTTTACTAGATGTTTTTATAAACACTTCTATACAGATTAAGGAGACGTAACTAGGTTAATTAGGTTATCTAGACAGGTTAGGGTAATTAGGTAAGTTACTGTCTAACGATGGTTTGTTCTGTAAACTATCGAAAAATTTATAGCTTAAAGGGGCTAATAATTTTGACCATAAAATTGTTTTCAAATAAATTTGCTTTTATTGTAGCCGAAATAAAAACAAATAAGACTCTCTCCAGAAGAAAAAAATATTATCAGACATACTGTGAAAATTTCCTTTGGGAAATTTGGAAAATATTAAAAAAATAAATAAATAAAAAGGGGGTTAATAAGTCTGAAATCAACTGTATAATTTTTTTTATTTGATCAATTGTCATATATTTGATTAATTTAGCATCTTAAATGGGAAACAATTGTGCATTTATTAATCCATTACATTAATCATTTAAAGATGGTGTCATCAAATTTGGATTAGAAGTGCATAAAATTGTTTTTTTAGTCTTTGCTTAATTTTTTTTTTTAAATGTTACATAAATATATATTTATTATTTGTTGTTCCTAAAACTTGGATAGGTGACAAAACCTGTCAGGTAGTGTATAGGGGAGTATATTTGCTGATGATAGATACTGAATTTTGTTTTATGTTGTATTTAAACCCCATAATGTTTACAAAAATTAAATATTTTATGTTTGTCTATAATAAAGATTTTTCCTTACTATTGTTTGGTTTTGTTATTATAAAACAGAAGCTTTACATAAAAAGTAAATCTATTTTCTTAATCTTCTTAACAAAATTTTATATACATAAAACCAAAATCCTTTTATATATATATATTGCTTACTGGAATGCAGTATTACTTTAAAACTATTTCTAACTCTTTTACAAAAAAGCTTTAAAAACAACAGAAATTTGTAAATTATATAATATCTCTTTAATGTGTTATATACACCTTCTGTTTGTTTTTGTTTTTCTTTTGTTTATTGTTGTTTTCTTTTTTCAAAATGTTTTCTTTTTATCTTTCCATTCTCTTTAAAATGTACTCAGATTGAATATTTTCGCATAACAAAAAAAAAAAAGAGTTTGTGAGGCTAATTATGCAAATTAGTGCATATTAATTAAACAATACCTATTTTACACATTTAAGCGTAATACAAAAATATTTAACTTGTCATGTAATCAATCAACTGTGAAAAATTTAGGAAAAAAAATCACAATAAAAGCATCTTGAATTCTCATGCAAAAGAAAAACTTCCTTCAAACCCCTCCCGTCCTCAATCATCCGTCTCATCCAGAACAGGTTCTACTACACCTGACTGCACTTCCTGATTTTTCTTCAGTGAGCTAAGAGGAAGATTCAGTGTAGATAGAGAGTAAAACACAGATAAGAAGGACAAACTAAAAGACAGCTGGTGAGTACACTAGACTCCTGTATAAAGAACATATATTTTGTCTGTCTCTTTCAGAGTGTGTTGTTTTAATGATCTGCAGGCCTGTTATTAGCTCACCATGGGAGCTTCACAGAGCAAAGATAAGATGCACTGCACCAGATACCTGAATGGAAAAGGTCCTCCACCGCTGGCTGATACAGGTGAGAGTCTGAGCGCTTTCTGATCTGCAAACTGAAACAAAAACATAGAAGGATTTACTAAAAAAATGCACATATTACATTATACATGTCCATGCTTTGATGTGGTGTGGATAATTAGTGCTTATATGATTTGTCATACTGGTTTAATATACAGTTGAAGGCAAAATGATTAGCCCTCCTGTGAAATGTATAAATGTATGTCAAATATTGCCCAAATTCTGTTTAATGTATTGTTTAAACACTTTTTTAACCATGACATTAAATTAAATCATTTAATCTAACATGATTGCAGCATATAATATTTTACTAGTTATTTTGCAAATTGCTAGCATTTATCTTTACTGGGTTAATTAGGTTAACAGGTAAGTTCAAGGACAAATTAAGGGGGCTACTAATAATACTGACCTTCATATATAATACATTTCTTTTTTAACTTAATTAAAAATGAGCTGTTTTAATAGCTGTTTATTGTAAGTTAATATGACCTAATTTGAAAATATATTGATAAAAGTGTAATTTTTGTGATTTTGATTTGACAATGCTTACCTATATACTTGTATTTTTATTGTTATCATAATTGAAAAATACAGTTTGAGTACTGAAAAAAAGTATCGGAATATAACATTTAGTTTGTAATGCAACAACATTCATCCATATTCATTGACTTAATGGGAAATTATTATGCAAAACAATCACTTTTATAAGGGTTTAAACTTAACAGTCTGTGACTATAACCAGCTTCTAATGATAGAAGTTCATTAATTTTGTTTTTTATAATCACACTTCATAAAAACCTTATGTAGAAAGACTTTGATTGACAATATTTCTTTGTATGTGTCATCAGAGGGGGAAAGCCCTGCCTATTAGTGACAATCTCTTCCTCATTAGCATTGGAGATTAGTCTTGTTTTAGAATCTGTCACTATGCTGACACACAGGCATTTGTAGCTCCAGCCTCTTTTGAAAAGAGCACACTCTTATATGCATTTAAAGCAACAGTCGTCAAAACGGCACAATTATAATCAAAGCCTAAAAAGGGCAGTTTTAAAGATTTATTAAACATTACATGTGTGGTATTATAAGCTGAACCTTCACATAGACACTCTAGGGACATAAGAAATGTATTTTACGTCTTGTAAAAAAGGGCCTGATAGATCCCCTTTAAGAGGAGATGCTGCTTTTTTCTCGAATGTGCCACTTTTTAGATTTTGGGCTTTTCATTTGAATAAAATGAAAACAAAAGTTCTGCTTTTATATCACTTTGGGCCCTATCATACACCCGGCGCAATGTGGCGCAAGGCGCGACGCAATTGTTGTTTGCTAGTTTCAGCTTGGCGCAAGAGTCGTTTTGACGTTTTGCGCCACGCTGTTAAATTAGCAAATGCATTTGTGCTCATATGTGCGCCCATAGGCGTTCTGGTCTTAAAAGGAAGGCGTGTTGAGGCGCATTGCTGGCGCTTTGCTATTTTGAGAAACTATAATAGATTTTTTCATAGACCAGATCAGAGCATGTTAGTTGTGCGCCTCGCTTACACTGCTTAATACACACAAAATGTAGAGCAATACGCAAATATCTTTACATATGTAAAAGAAATAAAATATTGAGGAAAATATTATAAAATATTGCGGCGCAAAGCAGATTTTTCCATCCTTATATTAGCAGAAGTGGATTCTGACCCGCCCTGAATGCGTTTGCGTCCTGCGCTTTGCACTTTGCGCATGATTCGTCAAAATAGAGCCCTTCGTGTCTTTAGATTTCAATTAGGCTTAAAGGTCACAAATCTCCACTTTTGAAGTTTTATTCATATTTACTGTACATAGTGCAAAATGTTCATAAACGGTTATACAACATTTTCTTTTACAAAAATGTGTCTGTTCACTTTATTTTTAGAATAAAACATTTTCTGTATGTTTGATGTATACAAGTTAGGTCATATTAATTCAATAATATCTCATTTGCACATTTAAGCATAACAAAAAACGTGTTAGAAAACTACACTGTAAAACCCCAAAGTTAAGGTAACTCAAATCATTTGAGGAAATTGATTGCAACAAGCCATTTAAGTTCAAAACTTGATCCTAATGAGTGCTGTGAACTAACTCCATTCGAGTAAACGAAGTAATTTGAGCACAGTAAAAGCCAATAAATGAAGAGAACTCAAACCAACTGAGTACGGTAAAACCCAACAAGTTAAAGCAACTCAAACCGTTTGAGGAAACCGATTGCTACAAACCATTTGAGTTAAAAACTAATCTATATGAGTACCGTGAACTTACTCTGTTTAAGTTGAATGGGGGTTTTAATTAACGTATCTTCAACACTGAGTTCAAAACTCTTTTCAAACGAGAAGAATTAACTTTCAGTCAATTTTGAGTTACTGTAACTACACTCATTTCTTTTGATAAAGTTGACTGTTGGGTTTTACAGTGTAGAAAACTAGTAATACAAAAAAATATGTCAAACTCTCAACTGGGAATGTATGGTGGGAAAATTGAGCTTAAATCAATCCAGATAAGAGATTTTTTTTTCATGTGTAAATAAGCCTGAAAAACAGTTTACTCTGGTTTCATTCATGTTTTAAAACAACTGTACTGATTTTTCACTAACATTTTGTATCCATATTAATATTGTGCAAAATGTTTAGATATAATTTTCCTGATTTTCTAAAACCAGGGTTTCTGCAGGTTTCATCAAGTCAAATTTGAGACTTTTAAGATGCTTTTAAGACCATTAAAATGAAAATTAGACTTATACCGGGCTGAGATTTTTCGAATGGCTCTGTATTATAACAAAGATATGTGTACTTGTTTTTTTCCTTGATTAGAGTATTTAATTTGCCGAATTTTTTTTTTTTCAGTAAAAATGTCTAACAGCTGTTGTGAATTGTATCTCTTTGCTCTATAAAAAAACATATGTAAAAATTAAGATATTTTGAGATTTATTGTTGGTCATTGGATGGATGTTGGTCCAATTGAGTAGCTTTACTTGGACAAAGCAAAATTAAGACCTGTTTAAAATGATTTAGCTCCCCCAACACAAAATTTCAGTGAATTTAAGATTTAAGACTTTAAGACCCAGCGGACACCCTGAAAAACTTTGATTCCACAAAAAGTGTTTATTTTCTTTGGCTGTTCTCTGAATTAAATAAATTATGCATGTCTGATATATGGAAATTAGCACATATTAAATAAACAATGCTTATTTTGTACTCAGTCAACTGGAGAAAGTGAAGTTGAAAACATTAATTTTTTTTTGTTTTATTTACCCGAAGTGTCTTGCATTAAGTGTGCATTCAGTTATGCAATAAAAACAGCAACTGTCTGCAAATAAATGTAACATCAGCTTTTTTCCTGGAAGTAACTTAATATTCCTGATTGTTGATATATCTTTGCTAGTTGCAGCAGATATCCAAGGACCAAACAGCCACAAAAAAAAATCGTTGATTAAGCAGGGAAGTCAGCCGGACGGAGGAAAGCTGGAGTGGGAGATTGAGAGGCGCAGTTTACCTGGTTATCCTGATGATGACACCATTAAGATCATCTTTCACTTTGAGGATGGCATTCAGTCGGTGAGATCTTGGTGATGTTAGTGATTCAGTATCAGGGTGAATCGACACACCTGTAAGTGTAAGTAAAGCATCTCAGTCATGCACGGTGGAATCCTGTCTGGCCGGTTCCTCGGAGCAGACGCTGATGGATGGGCATGTGTACAGCTCACTTTAAAGGGTTTATGAAGTGTTCTGTGTGTTTATTTAAATCAAATCAGATTAGAGATATTTGTCCAAGTGTAAATGAAACCAGAGTAAAGCTGTTTTTCAGGTTTTTGGTTTCATTAAAGTTATGCTTTCGTTTTAGATTTAGGTAGCATTTCAGGCATTTTAATTTTAGATTCATTCATTTTCTTTTCGCTTTAGTCCCTTTATTAATCTGGGATCACCACAGCGGAATAAACTGCCAATTTTAAATTTGTATATCTAGAAATTTGACATAGTTGCACACATTTTTAAAAATTTGTTAAAATCAAAATTGACCCCTTTTTAATAATTAATAATTTTGACAGGGTTATTTTTTATTGTAGTGAATTAGCATGTTTTATATTTTACTGCACAAAAAAAAAACATGAACGAAAAAAAAAACTCCACTTCAAAGAGACCACTTCAAAGACTGTAGATTTACATTTTTTTGTTGAATAAATCATATTAAAGCTTGTTTATATTTATTTTTAGACAAAACAATACTTTTTATTTTTTACATGAGTGTCAAGAAATCAATATTTGGTAAAATTGAGAAAAACATTTTCTGACCAGTGGGCTCTATGCACAGCTAGAGTTTAAAAACAACGATAAACTTCGGGTGAAAGCTTAATGTGACTTTTCAATTTCACAAGGTTGTTTTTACAGCATCGATGTTGTAATGTAATTGCACTACACTCAGTTAAATAGACTTAAGCATTCATTTAGGTGTTCAAGCGTAAAATGAGATGAAACACCATAACCTTAGTGTCATCAGTATAGCGACAGACTAACGCAAAAATTCCATTGGAAATACTGGAGTAAAATAAACGGTTCTATATTATGAAGACATGGTGGGGGGGGAAATGGACTTTAATGCAGTGCTTCTTGTCCGGTCTGAGACCCATTTTAAATAATTTATAACAGGCAGTGAAGATTGCTGAGTTTTAAAGAAATCAGTAGCAACGTGGAAATTTTAAATGTGCCAATTTTGTAATTGGAAGAAGTAATTGCCTGGCTGAAAATTAAAAGTTTATGTGCATATAGCCCATTGTCATTTTCTTGAAATGCTCATTATGGCAAATTTTTCAAATTTGGAAGAAATTTGATTATTGGAAATAACAATATTTTTCTACAGTGTACATTAAAAAAAAAAAAAGTTAAATTACGAAAATTTACCAGAAATCTTAATTTATGGAAACGGTAAATTTACGGTAAATTTCTGTAATTTAATAGCTGCTATTTTACAATTTTTTTTCTCCTGCAGCTGAAGTACCATAAATATACCATAAAATAGCAGCCATTAAAAGTTTTTGTTTAATTTAGATTACTGGTAAATTTCTGTAATTTAAGCTGCCAGAAAAAAAATGTCAATTGATGGAATTTTTCACAGTGCATATATATATATATATATATATATATATATATATATATATATATATATATATATATATATATATATATATATATATGTATATGTGTATGTGTGTGTGTGTGTGTGTGTGTGTTTAATGCAAAAACCTCTAAGCGCCGTCTGAATTTTCTGCAAAAATGTTTGCCTTTATATATATATATATATATATATATATATATATATATATATATATATATATATATATATATATATATATATATATATATATATACTCAATGTCACAGCAATTTGTGACTTTTTCATTTAGTGGCTAATTCGTATGAATTCGTACGATCTAATTCGTACAATTTAGTACAATTTGCTCATCCCCCAATGACGGTTGGGTTTAGGGGTGGGGTTAGGTGCCACGCCTCATTTTTAAAATCGTACAGTTTCGTACGACTGAACTCGTACGAATTAGCCATTAAACTGGCAAAACGTAAAATACTTATGTTTTCTTGTAAGATCAGGCTGCTAAAACCTATGCCTAATAAGTCCATTAAATGCAGAATGGAGAGAACCTGAGAATTGTCAAGTGGTCTCTTTATCCTATTATGATCTATGTCCTAGATCGCATACTTGTGCACGATTTTACAAAATTTTCTATTATAAATACCTCCAAAAAAATAAGTGCACTTTAAATACTCAGATGATGCAGGTCATTTATTAATTCATTAATTTCCCTTTGGCTTAGTCCCTGATTATCAGGGGTTGCCACAGCGCAATGAACTGCCAACTACTCTAGCATATTGCATAAAATCATATCCCAAACTGATGGTCATTCCACTGTGATAAATCAGGGACTAAGCTGAAAGATAGAAGTGAGTGAGAGTGAAGTTTGAGTGAAGTGATTACATCATCTTCTGATGGTGAATGCAGTTGTATATTGCACTGTTTGGTAGTTTTGTCATTTATCTCACTAATTTGGCTACTGTTAAACATTATCTGGAAAACATTTTGAATTTTCGCTTAAATAAAAACATTGGCTTTCCATTTGGGAGAACACCAAACTCATACACTGCACGGTTTAGTATACAAATGCATACTAAGTGCATAGTGTGCATAAAGTGTTTCTTAACTCCAGTGTGTATCTCTTCAGGATCGTCATCCTCATCCGGGTCACAGTTTCAGGGGCTCAGACACAGCGGTGTATCTTCCTCAGAACAGCTCAGGGACAAAGACCCTCCGTCTGCTGGAACAGGCCTTCCAACACAAGCTGCTGTTCACAGTGGCAGCAGACGGAAATGGAGAATACATAGTGACGCCCGCAGACATCCCTCTCAAGACCTGCGATAGCGGCGGACCGGCCAGGTGCAGTATCATTAGATTAGATTAGATTAAACTTTATTGTCATTGCATTTTGTTGCCTTGTAGCCTACTTATACATGTGCAAAGAATGCAAAAAAGTCTAAATTATTCGCCCTCCAGTGAATTTCTTTTTTCTTTTTCAAATATTTCCTAAATGATGTTTAGCAGAGCAAGGATTTTTTCACAGTATTTCCTATAATACTTTTTTCTTCTGGAGAAATTATTATTTGTTTTATTTCGGCTAGAATAAAAAATGTTTTTAAATAGCTTTTTAAACCATTTTAAGGACAATATTATTAGCTCCCTTAAGCTATATGTTTTCCGAAAGTCTACAGAACAAATCATCCTTATGCAATGACTTGCCTAATTACTTTTACTTGCCTAATTAACCCAGTTAAGCCTTTAAATGTTACTTTAGTGTCTTGATAAATATCTAGTCAAATATTCTTTGGGGTTCTTCGGATAAGAAAAAAGATAATGGAGTAGTTTTAGACAGGCTACTTATAGTGAGTTTGAATTAATCTGATTGGCTTAAAAATGATTGCGGATGGGTGACCAGCCACGATCAATCATATCACGTGCTCCTCTCAAAATTAGATTGTGAAACTTCACCCATTTAAAAAATGTATAACTATATAAAAACATATTAAGGGCAAATTGTCAATTGCTTGCTGTTGATAGAATTAATTGCGTTTTACTGTGTGTAAAATATTTTTATCGTTAATTGCATGATCTTGGCTTTAAAAACCATAATTTATTCAAATATAATAAAAAGCACATACTCATTTATTTACATCTTAAATATAGTTAAATGCAATGTAAATAATTTCATGTTTTTTCATGACACCCAAAACCTGACCAATAAAATAATGATTATTTTTTTTTAATAATTATTATTTTTATTTTTAAAATTATATTTGGAGAATTTTTTTTTTCTTTGTACATTTTCTATTGAGCTTCATATTAATCAAGTCATTTTCCATTTTGTATTGTTTCAGCTTGGGTTATCCAGATCCTAATTACTTGAAAACAGTGAGGAAAAGTCTGGCAGTGAAGGGCATCGAATGAGGCCCAATGGACGGCTGAAACTAAAACTGCTGATCCTCATCATCACACTGGATATAATGGAGTTTCACATTTACAGGCCAATCTGCAGCATGCGGTTGAGTCTGATCATCTAACAATATGTGAGGATCTTAACATGCAAAAGCAGAAGATGAGTTTTCATGTACGGCACATCTGAGACCTCTAATTTCTATGAAACAGACTAATAACGTGAAGAAAGACAGTATTATATACACCGCTAAAGCCTCTGTATCGCTTTAACTATTTTAGAATTGATGTAAAGTAATAAAAAAATGTGTATTTTAATGTACATTATTAGTGAACGTAATTTTTTTTTACTTTTCATATTTCTCATTTATTTTATTTATACACTTAATGGAAAGAGGCAACATCTACATTCATTTGTTTTATTGAAATCTAAAAAATTGTTTTATCATAGAATCAAACTAAATATGTAATATATACCAATAAAACTGATCAAGTAT